TTTGAGAGAGAGAGAATGTGTGCGAAAGCACGTGCTGGGGAGGGGCAGAGAGAAAGGGGACAGAGGATCTGAAGCAGGCTGTGTGCTGACTGCAGGGAGCCCGATGCAGGCTCAAACTGTGAGATCTGGTCTGAGCCAAAGTCTGGCACTTAACCCAATTGAGCCACCCAGGCACCCCTACAATGTCTTTTAATTGAGGTTTGTTTGCTGGTTCCTTATAAATCCATACAGGCTATGCATTTGGAGCAGGTGATGGAGGCATTATTGGTGATGTTAGTTAACTTGGATCACTTGGCTAAGAAATTTTTTCGTTATAAAGTTAACTCTTTTCCCTTTGTAATTAATAAGTAATTTATGAGAATTGCTTCAAAATACTTGGAGATACTTTGAAACTGTCTAAATATCCTGTTCTTTAGCAAATTTCCCCCAGTGGTTTTAGAATCCTAAAGAGCACTTTTATATCATGAACATGTGGTTTCTTCAGCTGAATTAAAGTCTTCTTGAGAAAATAGTTTACTTCAAAAAGTATGTATCTTGTACACAGTAAGTTCCCACTATTAGTGACTGCCTGACCTTCAGCTGCCTGACACCAGATTGCTCATTACATTTTTCATGATGGATTTTGTCTACTTACCCTGAGAAGAAGTTAACAGATACTTAAGCAAAAGTCCTGTTGTGTGTAAATTAGAAATGGTCACTAATTGCACTGATTAGGTGTTTTTAGTAGGCCTCAGACCAGTGAGATAGGAGTAGTAATACAATCTCTGGATAGTTTCAAACATGTGATAACAATAATAAAGAAAAGCTCTGATCATCACCGGAAAACTTGTTAAATGTATAGTACCTTTATTCCATTTTAATTTGCATTTGCGATGAAAGGAAGTTTCTGGGTGGTGTTCATCTTTCACTTTGGACTCTGACATTTTTCATGTCAGCCTAATACTTAGCCATGACTCATGGGTGTCACCTTCACTCTTTAAGAATTAGGTCAGATTTCTCTTAGATCTTGTCATATTGCCACTTGGAATTTAGCTGGAGGAAAGAAAATAAGGCTCAACTGCAGTTGTTTAGATGAACATCTTACTCAGGAGGGCCAATTAGAGACAGAAAGATGGAGTAGTATGTCCTCATTCTGTCTGGCAGTTTTTTAAAATAGTATTTTATTTGGGGGAGAGTGAAAGTGGGAGAGGGGTAGAGAGAGGAGGACAGAGGATCCAAAGCGGGCTCTGCACTGACAGGCTGACAGCAGCGAGCCTAATATGGGGCTCGAACTCATGAACTGCGAGATCATGACCTGAGCCCAAGTTGGATGCTCAACTAACTGAGCCACCCAGTGCCCTGGCATTTTTTTTTGTTTGTTTGTTTTTTATCTCTGCTCTGAGGATATTTTTTCCACCTTTCACTGTACATATCTTGGGCAGAAATGACAGTTGACCACTAAAGTTCCTCTATCCCCAATTTCTGGCTGATGCCTAAAATTGCATCATTATCAATTAATTTGTGCAAATTATGTTACCCAAGAAAAATGCAGATATCCTTGCAGGGTGTTGGAGAGGTAGCACAAGCCAACATCTAAACATAAACATCAAATATTCAGAGCTGTTCTGTGGTAGTTAGTTGCTAGAAGCTCTCTGCTAAGTGAGAGAGTAATTTATAAGTTTTCACTGAGGGAGGGAGAAGCCAGGGTGAGGTTTTAATAGTTGGGGCTTTGAATAGCTTAAGGACCTAACTCTGAAAGAGGAAGGGGAAATGGGTATTAGACCAGGAAAAGGAAGGACATTTAAAAGACACAATATACTTACTTTACAGTTTTCATAGATAACCCTGATGGAGTGGTCTCTGAAATCTACAGAGCATTAAGAGTTAAGAAATACATGTTTTGTTAAACCAGGAATTGGTGATGGCTGTCTCTTTTTAAAAAAGGCTTTTTTTTTTTTTCCATCTGCACCAAAGACATACCTTTCGCTTTTCCTTGTGTCTGTCATATCTCCAGGTGTACCAGGGATGTTATTAGGGGAGGGTGGTAAATTCTATGTAACTGACTTTCTCAACAAAGTTATTCCAATCTTCTACATTTAGACAGGATATGAAATTCGCAGTTGGTATACAGGCTGCATTGGTCAGGGTAATAATTTCCAAGGTCAGGTGATTAATTGTGGCCATTGTTCCACAGAGAGGCATTTCAGTGTTTCTACTAGAGCATGTGTTTTGTGAAGCTTTGTTGTTTTTTGCCAGATGCAGTTGGCTCATCTTGTGAGATCTGTGCTATGGAATTGATCTTTTGCTCAGTGTATCTGTGTTAACATCTCTGAAATACTTGTGACAGACTTTTTCTCCACTTCAATGAGAAAAAAATTCTTTTTCACTTTCTATGACCAGTTAAAAGAAGATGGATGCTCAGAGTTCAGCCAAAGTCAACACAAGAAAGAGGAGGAAAGAGGTACCTGGACCCAATGGGGCAACAGAAGAAGATGGAATTTCTTCAAAAATGCCACGCTGTGCAATTGTAAGGAAGAGATATCTTTTTTGAACACTTAACCTGGCAGGGGGATGGTAAACACTGATATAAAATTAATGATATCAGTATGACAAATCTTCTTAGATAATGGAAAGAATGAATAGTAAGTGTGAATAGTATTTTCACAGTTGTTGGAAATGTTCTACTTTCTTATCAAATTGAAGTTCACAGCTAAGTTGCAAAAGCTTTACACTGGAACTGGAAAAAGAATGTTAGGAAAATTTGGAAGTTGTTAAGTTAGTTTATTAAGCTAAAGATTAAATTAAAGTGAATGAAATAGAGAAATTTGAGCTCTAGGCAGTCATCTGATCTTAGTATCATCTCTTAGTGTTTAGTTTTCTGGGTCTTACTTTTTTTCTGCCGTATCATGCCTTCACTCTATTACTGGTTATATCTTAGATGAGAGCCTTTTTCTGTTACTGCCTACCTTATGTTCCTTTATCCCTGGGACATTATCTTGTATTTCCTAACCACTGCCAAGCTGTCAATGAAACACCCCATTCCAAACTGTTCATCCTGTCTCAGTTTGGTACCCTTCTTAAAGCTTCCCCTAAAAAACATGTCAATGAACACATGTACAACTGAAGTTATTATTGGTATGTAATATTATTATGAAATCCATGTTTTAAAATTCCAGTGAAAGGATTATATATTTCTGTGTTTTCTTTACCTATATTGACTGTTAGCCATTGATCAAACTGCAGTTTCCACTGGTTAGTTCTGGAACTTCATGTAGTGCAAAGGGAAAAGCATTTTTACTCTGACACAAATAACATTTGTTCTAAACCAGTACTCTATCTTGATCAATAAAACCAGCTGGACTCCACCAATAGGAGGCTTATGCTTAGGCCTGATATTGATGATATTGGTAGGGGCAAGTGTATTCCTTTCCTATTGCTGCTTAACACATTGCCACATATTTAGCAGCCTAAAACAATACAGATATATTGTCTTACAGTTCCGGAGGTTAGAAGTCTTAAATGGATTTTGGAGTACTAATATCAAAATGTTGATAGGGCTGGAGATTGTAGGGGAGAATCTGTTTTCTTGTCTTTTCCAGCTTTGAGGGGCTGCCCCCATTGCTTTGCTCATGGTGCCAGCCAGCAGTCACATCACTCTGCTGCATCTGTCATCACATTTCTTCTTCTTCTTTTTTTTTTAAGTTTTATTTGTTTATTTTGAGAGAGAGAGAGAGACCGAGCGAGCCCAAGCACAAGCCAGGGAGGGGCAGAGAGAGAGAGGGAAAAAGAGAATGCCAAACAGGCTCTGTGCTATCAGTGCTGAGCCCAACGAGGCCTTGATGGGGCTTGATCTCACGAACCATGAGATCATGACCTGATCTGAAATCAAGAGTCAGACACTTAACTGAGCCAACCGGTGCCCCTCATCACATGTCTTTTGATTCTGACTCTCCTACCTGCTTTTTCACTTATAAAGACACTTACGATAGGGTACCTGGGTGGCTGAGTCGGTTGAGTGTCTGACTGTGGCTCAGGTCATGATCTTGTGGTTTGTGAGTTTGAGCCCCACATTGGGCTCTCGTCTGTCAGTGTAGAGAATGTCTCAGATTTTCTGTTTTTCTCTCTCTTTGCCCCTCCTTCTGTCTCTCTCTCCAAATTAAATAAACATAAAAAAAATTTTTTAAAAGGCCCTTGTAATTACATTGAACATATTTGGATAATCCAGGATAATCACCCTTTCTCAAAATCCTTTAATTTAATCATATCTGCAAAGCCCTTTTTGTCATGTAAGGTAACATAGTCACAGGTTCCAGAGAATAACATGTAGACATGGCTTTAGGAAGCCATTATTCTGTACACCATACCAGGTATACTCAGAAAATGACTCAGCAGTCAACAAAACAGGAGGACATTGTTAATTTCTGAATGTTTCTTAGAGAATTCAGGTTAAGAGGATGATGGTAAGCACCAATTCAGCAATCAGTCTTGGAGGAGGGACAAGGTATAACCATGTAGTTGATACTCTTCGCCAGTCACAAGAGCTAAGAATAGAGCAAAGAAGGCAAGTGGAATGGTGGAATGGGCTCTGAGGAGACTTAAATTTCTCGGTCCTTAGAATTGAGGAATTTCAGTGCTTTAAATTGCTTTGCTTCGTATATTCACGTCACAGATCAATTGAGTGACTTGCTACTTACTCCACATTCCTCTCTAGTACACACTGGCTCTTTAGCATGGGCTAATGGTCAAAGATTCATTCACTCAACAGGCTGTACCAGCCCTAGTGAGGAGTGTCCGCTAAATAAACTTGTCTGTTATTGTACACTTGTACTTTCTATCTCTGATCCCTTTTCAACTTTGTAGTGAAAGCAAACAATATTTTTTTCCTGTTTTTATAACAGGAATCTCTATTGAGATCATATAACCCACCCATTTAAACTGCACAATTCAATGATTTGGGGTATATTTAGAATTGTGCAACCATCACCACAACTAATTTTAGAATATTTTATGTATCTAAAATGTGGATACCACATTTTATGTGTCCACACATTAGTTGACATTTGGGTTGAGCAAACAAGATTTTATCACACACAATGTCCAGCATAGCCACTAGGTGCTAAGAGTATAAAAGTAAATAGGACCTTCCCTTTGAGAGATGTGAGCCTAATGGGGAACTCTATAGCTCAGAGCTCAGAAGAACTTTTTTTCCTTGCAAGGGTAGAGAGAAATTGGAAGGATCATTTAGTATTAGGTAGCTACATTGGTGGGTCAGGATGAATTAGAAAGAAGAGAGAAAAGAATTGGGGGAAAATGAAGCGATAACTTTATGGCTAGTTTCTTTGTAAGTATAAAGAATTTACTGACTCTTAAATACAGAGAACAAACTGAGGGTTGCTGGAAGGGAGGTGGGTTGGGGGGGGCAGTTAAATGACTGATGGGCATTAAGGAGGGCACTTGTTAGGATGTGCACTGGATGTTATATGTAAGTGATGAATCACTGGGTTCTACTCCTGATACCAATACTACACTGTATGTTAACTAACTTGAATTTAAATAAAAAAAAAAAGAATTTACTGATACAGATGTTTCTAAAGATACAATAAAAAATAATCACAAAAATATTTATGAAGAATAAGACATTTAGCCTATATCTGTATTTATCACGTGTATGGTTAAGTCACAAATTGGCAACAGTTCTGCTAATGGAGATAGATATCACAACCTCATATATTGAGAACACCTGTGTGCCAGTTACTATACACTGGAGATGCAAAGATGAAAAGATGACCTTGCTCTTAAGATGCTCACAGACAAATAGGGGAAATAGATAAGTTATTAAGATATAGAATGAAAAGGGCCAAATAGAAGGAAGTTAGAAATACAATGGCTGCCGAGATGAGCAACAGATTAACTTTGACCTAGAGGTGGGGACAGTGGTTTTGGAAAAGCTTCACTGAGGAGATTATTTCTGAGCTGAACTTTGAAGAATAAATAGGAATTCAAGAAATGGACAAGAGATAGAATACAAGTTCAAGTGTGATATAATAGTATGTTTAGCAAACCATGAGTAATATTAGAGTTTAAAGTTCAGAAAATAATCTGCAATAGATAAGGCAAGCGACAACCTGATTATGAAGGATCTTGTGTGCTGTGCTAAAGAGTTTGAACTTTACCCTGTGGGCAATGTGATCAGATTTGTAATTTAGATCATCCTGGTTGCTTTGGAAAAGATGAGCTGAAACAGTGATAGAAACCAGAGAACTAGTTGCGAGATTGTTGTAATGATCCAGGTTGAAGATAATGAGGACTTAAACTACAATTTTAAGTTTTTAAGAGGTAAAATAGATAATTCTTGGAAATCAGGATGTAAAGGATGAGAGGTGTTAAAGATGACTTCTAGATTTGAGTCTTAGGTAGATTGTGTATATGGGATGCTTCTTAAATAAGAAATACAGAAAGAAGATCTGGTTTAGCAGAAAGATGATAAGTTTAATTTAATACAAGTTCAACTTAAAAGGTCTAGGAAACATCCAAATAGTAGTTAGATAGATGAGCTCATTGTTTCCATTCATTGAAATGGCAATGAGAGTCTGAGAAAATTGTTACTTTTCTTTTTCACTTCCTCCTTTCCTTCCTCTCTCCCTCCCTCTCTCCCTCTCCCTCTCCCCTTATATCCTTCTCCCTTCCTTTCTTCTTTTCTTCCTTTTCCTTTCCTTCTTTCCTTCCTCCTTCCTTCCTTCCTTCCTTCCTTCCTTCCTTCCTTCCTTCCTTTCCTATCCCCAGGGAGTGGAATCTCTCAGCTCTGTTCTTTATCCCTTCTTTATCACACCATATGGTATTCCTCTTGACTCCATAGCCTTTCGTCTAGTATTATGGAAATAATTTGGATCTCAGGAACACTTGTTATCATTTGTGCCACATGTTTGAGTAAAAGGGAAATGTTTCTCTGTGTCATTCTGAAAGCCTTTGCTGAAAAATATTTAAGAGTCCTTAGAAGTAGAATCCTGGGAAGCCAGTATCAAATTCTGGTCTTAATCTGAGTTATCTCCATTTCCCTATTTTTTTTTTAATTTTTAAGTTTATTTGTTTGTTTTGAGAGAGAAAGAGAGAGAGGGCAAGCATGAGTGTGGGAGGGACAGAGAGAGGGAGAGAGAGAATCCCAAGCAGGCTCCACATTGTCAGTGCAGAGCCCGATGCAGGGCTCGAACCCACGAATTGTGAGATCGTGACCTGAGCCAAAATCAGGAGTTGGACGCCCAACCAGCAGAGCCACCCAGGCTCCCCTCCATTTCCCTATTTTAAGGACACCAGAATGTCATCTCTTTGACTGGAATTTTGAGGAATAGTGCGTTAATATATGTGAACATAATCAGGAACAGTTTTTATGAAAGCAATATTGCATTTAGAAGACCATTCATAATTTGGGAGATGATCATTAATAGTCATAATTTTTAGTTATAATAGTATTAGTTATAATTTGTATAGAATTAGAAACTTCATATAGCATCTAGAAGCTAACCTCTTCGA